GGGGAAAGGGGGTGGGGGGGGGGGGGGGGGGAATCAGAGGGGGCAAATGGTGGATCTCCAGCCCCCCAGGTCTGGCAGCCAGCAATTGTGTGTCATAGGCCTGGCACCCCCAGAGATGCTTCCCCATCCCGCAGCTGGGAGCATTCTGGCCACTGGCATCTTCCCAGCTAATGCTGCAGCTGGCAGAGGCTGGACCTGGCAGGGGTCTCCTCCCCTGCCTATGGGAGGTTTGTTTGGGGAGGGGGCTGCACGGACCCAAAGAGTAGGACCAGCTAGGAGATGCTTTTAAGTTACATTGAGGAGGAGGAGAAGAGAAACTGAGGCACAGGTTTAGTAATGCAGCTTTTAAAGACTGGTATGGTACAGCTGGGGAGAGAACCCCGGCATCCTGGCCTCCTGCCCCCAAACCCATTGGATCCCATACCCTTCCCAAAGCCAGGGATAGAACCCAGGAGTCCTGACACCCAGCCTTTCTGTTCCAACCCCCCAGCCTCCACTCCCTTCCCAGAGCCTGGATCGAACCCAAACATCTCCAAAAGAGAAGGCTGAGAGGGGATCTAGTGGCAGTCTACAAACTAGTCGAGGGGGACCAGCAGGCATTGGGAGAGTCCCTGTTCCCCCGAGCACTCTCAGGAGTTACAAGAAACAATGGACACAAGCTGGCAGAGGGTAGTTTCAGGTTAGACATTAGGAGGCGCACTATTTCGCTGTCAGGGCAGCTAGGACCTGGAAACAACTTCCAAAAGAAGTGGTGCTGGCTCCTACCCTGGGGGACTTTAAAAAAAGGCTAAACGAACATCTGGCCAGGGTCGTTTGACCCCAGTACTATTTCCTGCCACGGCAGGGGGTCGGACTAGATGATCTCCTCAGGTCCCTTCTGATCCTACCAACTATGAAACTATCTCAACACCCAGCCCATCGTATCCATTAGGAGAGAACCCAGGTGTCCTGCCTCTGCTGCCTGCACTCCACAAGCCTCCTTACTTAGGAGGCTTGCCTATTTGGCCTTCACTGCTCCTCTCTGCCTCTAGCTCTTCCAGCTCCTCTGTGTTCTAGAGAAGTCTAGGTCCAGCTGGAAAGCGGGGAGACTTGAAAATCTGTGTTCCCAGTTGGGCCCCTGTTAGTTAGTCCAAGAATGGAAGGGAACTCTATGCAAGCTCTCATTCATGTTTTCAGCCTTTAATTGCCTTGCACCTCCCAACAGTAGGAAAAGCAATGATGATATTCAAACAACCACACAGCACTAAGGAGAAATGTGCTCTTAGTTAAAATTGCAGCCGCAGACATGTCACTTTGGGCACTGGCCTGCAAAGGGGTTTTGCAGGCAGGAGATAGTGGGATGTGGAAGCCAGGACCTGTCAGACAGCCTGGTTACCCACCAACCCACTCTGACCTCTTAGGCATATGTGGGTGTAAATGTCAAGTAGCAGGACTCCTGGGGTCACGTCTCAGCTGGCCAGACACAATCCAGGCTTAGTGGGTTGGAGCAGGGCTGGGGACTGGGAGCCCGGACCCCTGGGTTCCATGCTCAGCTCTGGAGGGGGTGGGTAGGTGCACCTGGGGTAGGGGAGAAATCCAGGTGTGGGGAGCACTTAAGGAGGGATCATGGTGGATCTGGGTAGCGGGCAGACAATGATGTTCCATGGGGGCCAGAGGCACTGGGGTTTGGGGGCACTGGGATGGACAGGGGGACTAGTGTGGGTATCTCAGTGGGTGATATAGGGGTTGGGGGGCCTTGGAGGGGTGGGGGGTCAGGGCCAGTCTAAGGGTAATTGGCATCCTAGGCAGACTGTGTACCTTGGAGCCCCCACCACTTCCAATACAGAGGAAAATAAGAAGTCCAGAATTAACTTTTACTTTTGAGATCTTCTCAGAGGTCTTTCTCCCCTTACAGAACCAAAAGTCTTAGACCAAGGTGGAGCCATAGCTGGCCAGGGCTCTTATTCAGAATGATGTTCCTGTTATTTTGTTCTGCATATAATTTTGGTGCCCCCCCATATTTTGGCACCTTAGGTGACTGCCTAGTTCACCTAATGGTTGGACTGGCCCTGGGTGGGGTGACTGTAGGGAGGGTGTCCCTGGTGGGGGAGGGGGATCTGGGCCAGGGGGCCCTATATGTAGAGGGTGAGGGGGTCATGGGGATGTCTGGGATGGGAGGGGGGGGGTGGGGGGAGCGGAAACTAGTGTATCAGTTTGGTGGCTGAGGGGGCAGGGCTGGCACCTGAATGCCTGGGTTTGCTCCTGGGCTGGGGGTTTAGACAATCCCTCAATCCCTGCCTCAATCCCCCTGTCCTTCCCCCTGCTTGTCAAGGGGCACTAGCCAGCCCAGGGCTCAGCTCCTGCTCCTTCCACCCCCTCCCCCTACCCCCAGCAGGTTGCCACCTCCCCACGGCTGTGTGCAAGGTGCAAGGTGCTGTACATGGTCGGGGCATCCGGCCACGGTTTCCATAGAGACGCTCTGAGCTCTGGGACCCACAGGATGCTGAGACCGCAGCGAGCACATGCTGCTCCCAGCCCTTTACGAGTGGGGCTGGGAGAAGGGTGGGGGGCACTGCGGGGTGGGCTGTACCCTGGCACTCGGCCTCGGGGACATCAGACTCTATTCCCCTCATCCCTGGGTGCAGGCCCCTGGAGTAGTGAACAGCCTCTCTGGCAGTGCCCCCATCCCGTGGCACGGCCTTCTCCCCGGGGGGTGGGGAGCACCTATGTAGTCTTCAGGCTGGTCAGGGGATTGCGGGTCGGGAGTGAGGGGCACCAGCAGGGCTGGTTGGGGGCAGGGGGCTGCGGGTCGGGACTGAGGGGCA